TCATTGTGTATTTGTCAAGACATGTCCAGGTGATAAATTCATTATCCTTCTGTTGTATGTAGATGATATGTTGATAGTGGGACAGGATGTGAAGCTGATTGGTGATTTGAAGAAAGAATTGTCAAAGTTTTTTGATATGAAAGATCTGGGCCCTGCAAAACAAATTTTGGGCATGCAGATCATGCGAGACCGAAAATCCAGAAGGTTGTGGTTATCGCAGGAACGGTATGTGAATCGGATTCTGGACAGATTCAACATGAAGACGGCTAAACCAGTTAGTACACCGTTGGCAAATCACTTCAAACTCAGCAAAAGAAGTTGTCCCACAAGTCAAGAAGAAAAAGAAGCTATGGCGGGTATTCCATACTCCTCAGCAGTCGGGAGTTTGATGTATGCCATGGTTTGTACGAGGCCGGATATAGCTCATGCGGTCGGAGTTGTTAGCAGGTATCTTTCCAATCCTGGAAAAGAGCATTGGGAAGCACTGAAGTGGATCTTGAGATATCTGAAAGGTAGTTCTAATATGTGCTTGAGCTTTGGAATACCTAACCCAGTTCTTGAAGGATACACAGATGCAGATATGGCAGGTGACCTGGATAGTAGAAAATCTACTTCAGGACTTGTGTTTACCTTTGCAAGGGGAGCTATATCTTGGCAATCCAAATTGCAAAAATGTGTGGCCTTGTCAACTACTGAAGCTGAGTATGTTGCCATGACTGAAGCAGGAAAGGAAATGCTTTGGTTGAAGAGGTTTCTTCAACAACTGGGAATTGAGCAGAAAAAGTACGTTATCCATTGTGATAGCCAAAGCGCATTGGATTTAAGTAAGAATGCGATGTATCACTCTCGTACGAAGCACATTGATATCAGATATCATTGGCTGCGTCAGGCAGTGGAAGAACAAGAATTCAAGCTAGATAAGATTCATACGGATAAAAATCCTGCTGATATGATGACGAAAGTTGTTGCACAAGAAAAACATCAACAGTGTGCCAAGCTGATTGGCATAGATCGCATGTGAAGATTCCAAGAGTGCACCTTTGTGCTGGAGGGGGAGAATTGTGAGGTCCAGCACATTTTCAATTTCGGTGCCCCCTTTTTTGACTTCATAAACAATTAATAATATTTTATTAAATGAATAGTAACTTTATTTGGCTATAAATAGCCGTGAAATGAAATTGAAGGAAGCACAAGCAGCAACACACACAAGATTTCATCAAGCATTGTGAGTGTTTGTGAGAGAAAAAAAAAATAGAGTGTTGAGTAAATCCTAAGAGTGTGAGAAAAATACACTAGGGTGGGTATCATCTCTATTTCTTCTTGGTATTACAAAATTTGTAATATTTGAATAGGAGTGGGTCTCACTGTGTACACTATATTTTACACTTCTTGTGTGATAGAGTGTTGAAAGGATATTGTAAATATCCTGAGATATAGTGGAATATTTTTCGGAGTTTGTCCCGTGGTTTTTCCTCCACACTGGAGGTTTTTTCCACGTTAAATAGTGGTGTTCTTTATCTGCTTATTTTATTCAGTTAAAAATAATTCTTAGTATGCTCTGTGGTTGCAGTTTAGTCTGATCTTCCACATCAGAAAAGAATTATTTTTGTTATCCTTCCGTGGCTGATTGTTGGATTGCTGGAGAAGTGTGTATTTGTATTAGTGTTGTAACTGGAAAGATTCTGGCTAAGGAAAGACCTGGTATTTAAGTGATCCGTTGTGATCCACCTCTCTTTCCTGGGAAGTATTTCAGTACACACTTTACAAGTTACACCGCTGCGCTGCTAGATCTATTTATTAGGTCTGAATTATTTCTCGCCAGTTTACGTCAGAATTTTAATTTACACGTCCAAGTTATTCCGCATTTGAGCTCAACACGTTTTACATCCTAATAATCCCGAGTCTGATCAATTCTGCAGGAAAGTAAAATCTGTTACACCCTTTATATCTTCTTTCACACGTAGAATAATCATCTTTAATTTTATGTAAATAAATAATAGGGTTAATATTTTAGTTAAAAAAACATTAATACCATTTAATCTTTAAAATATTAAAGAAATTATAATCATTAATTTAAAAAAAAGTATAAAATACTCTCTCAAAATCTGAACTTGAAAATTTTCATACAGACTTCAATCATTCGGTAATGAGTATTAATCTTTAACCTTTACGATCGTAACTGGAATAAAATGTTATATTTTTGTTTCTTTCACCGTCAACATTATGAACCGAGTTATCTGGTGGCTAATTCCATCGTTAATTTAAAAAACTTAGCGATCAATTAGGTTTTAGTCACTAAATTTTTTGCGACCAATTTTTAGCTATCACTTCATTTCAGTTGATCATTTGTTCGCTAATTAATTTAGTGATCGAATTTTAGTTTTTAGTGACTAATTTTATTGTTTTTTCTAGTTATCATAAGACATAGAATTAATAAAAAAAAATTCTTAAAAATTATAGTAGTAATATATTAAAATTTATAATAACAATAAATTAATAACACATTTTAATAAAAAAATTACTTTGACACTTGAAATAAAAATATTTAAGATATTAGTTTTATTTGTCTTTGCATAATTTGATAAAATTCAAAATGCATGTGTGCTCCTGCGTCTTTCTGCAAGGCTTGTATTATACAAGAGTGTGAAAAATGAAAATGTAATATTAATAAATCATTTATGATTATTTTGATGAAAGTTATTTATTTTCACCTTATATGCACCTAGTACAAGTAATTTGTAAGCCATGCAACTTAAAAATCATATGCTTTGTAGTGTTACACTCAATAAATAGTAAATGAGAAGGACTAATAAAACGAGTGTCTAAATAAATAAGTCACGTTATTTGATCTCAGGGCAAGTAATGTCACCATCGAGTGGGTGAGCTCTATCGTAACAACAATAAGATAATTTACAATCAGATATTAATGTGTCTATTGCGTACCGCTGGTACTTAGTCATCAACAAAAATTTTCTCTTATAAAATTAAAACCAATAAATAAGCTAATGTACAATGCAATCAGGCTACCTACTTGCATCTTATGTTCATGAGTTTAAAATATAAGTATTATCATCAGCTAAAACAATACTAACAGCTTTGACAAGACCATGCCACATGCTTTTTTGTTTAAGAAAAAGGTTAAAAGCATTAAAAATATTATATGTGGGAAGCAGCTAGCTAGCTTTAGTAGTTTGCAATCAAAATGTGCGGTTGGTATTGATTTAAATGATTGCATTGAAGAATGAGAATTGACTCAGAACTTGCATGTGGAATCGGCATTATTGCATGTGTTAATATGTGTTAGATCCTACATTTGGAAAGTTGCTTGTAAGTTGGACAAGGAAAGGTGGAGGGGATGAAGGGAAGCCAAGCAAGCACGTGACTCATCTTGACGATGGATTAGAAAGGAAGTAAAGTGTGGATGGATGGAGGAGACCGCTACGGGGGTCATCATGTGTTTACTGAATTTACTTAACCCCCAAATTAGGATCACATTAAAGTTTGACAAGAATATGCAAGAATGAAAAGAGACGACGATGCTGATCATAATATGAGAGAGAGATGCTAATACAGAGAATCGCTGAACTAAACAGTAGTGTACTGAAACTTATGCTTATGCAATCTAAAAAGGATAAGACAGATTTGGGTGATCTCTATTTCTCTATCTCTCTCTTTTTCCATTTGTTTCCTAAGCACTGTAGCAGATTTGGCCTTTGTATATATGTTTTCTGATGCATAAAGTTTATCCCTTTGTTGTCCCTTCAGAAGGTCCCCAACCGTATGGGAACTTACATGAGGGCCAGACAAAGATATGGAATAGAGAGAGAGAGAGAGAGAGAGAGAAGGGGGGAGGGGGGTAAGAGTGAATTTTGCTAGGTGAAACTGTGGAGAAGAGAAAAGGGAAAAAGAGGGAATTGGTTGCAAGGGAACGATGAATTTATTGCCTGTTCGAAAGCCCAATGAGAAAGTATTTGTTGGTTTCTAATAAATGGGCAGAACAGGCACAGCGAGGGAGGCCTTATCAGCATGTGTACTTTGGAGCTATTTCACAAACTACGGGTCAACACTGTACAAACTTTTGTTAGAAAAATATCAACACATTTTCACGACATAAATGTATGGCCTAGAAACAAACACCACAACTGGAAACTCTAGTTCTCTATTCTGTGAACACTTCACCACACACTTTTCCTTTTCCATGCAGAAATTAATTATTAATTAATAATAATAAAAGAAAAGATCTCAAGGAAAATTCTCGCGTAGACTTTGATCTATAATAAAGATGGTCATAGAGATTGCAGAGCGCCGAGGGTATATTTTATACGTACAAGAAAATATAACAGAAAGAGAAAAAAAAAAAGGGACCTAGCTATTTCTATATGGTGAAAATCTTCCACTTCTAATAAATCAAGAAGCTTCATTTTCTTTGACGTGGACAATAATAGAGAGGGCCTAGCAATTAAAGGCCTTCAATGAATCTGAAAAAGTTATGGCAGGCTTTCTGGTACTATGAAATCTTCGCCCGAAAGGAAACCAATGCATTCAATTCACCTCAAAAGATCAAGTTCACGAAGGAAACCATGAAAAGAAAGAACAGAATTAAAAGCTGAAATTAACTAGTGTAATATTTCTTATGGACTAAAACCTTGCATCGGCGGACATACAATAGTGTTAAACAACTTTACACATGTGTCAATTGAATTTACCTTTGCGTCTTGAAGTTGTATTCCAATAAAATATTATATTCCAATCACTTCGGTTAACCAATCTCATGCACGAAACCTACTTCATGTGTACCATGCATTACCCTCTTAAGAGAAGAAACGTATGAAAACTCAGCTAGGCTGAGTTTGCTGATCCTATTTGTGATTGTGAATATATTTTATATGCTTAATTCTAAATTATATATATAGTTGAAAACACAATTATATAATTGGATAAATATGTAACTAGCTAGTGGAGAGAAGAGTCTTAATTGTGCCATAGATTACGGGAGTAGTAGCTATTAAAGATGCATAGTTTTATTCACAACTTGATGAAAAGCCACTCGAAACAAGAGCTCAAAGTAGAGAAGAACACTCAAAGAAACACACACTCTTTGCAAAGCTACTTCACTCTACTAACTCAAAACATGTTTTAGACACAAAAGTCACCTTAACTATAACATTGGTATTTTCTTGCTCCTGGTTTTGTTGAGACGCTAGCTTGGTTTCTTTCCCTCTCTTTAACACATTACATCCTTCAGAAGCTTGTACCTGCGTGTGCCGGGTCGCGGTGACGGCGTGGGGCTCTTCCCCTTCTCCGAACCACTCTCATCACGATGATCATGCTGCTTCATCAATTTCTCGCCGGAATATTCCGAACGGTTGGCGGTTCCGGCCTCAATTCCGGCCACCGGTTTCTTCGAATTGGAGCCAATATGTCTCAAGTTCTTCTCCTCGCTCTGGCACCAATCGCACAGTTCTATCTCCGGTAACTCTCCATAGTAGTTGCTACAATACCTGAAAATTATTAATCAAACTTCAAGCTTAGCTCACATCTAAACAATAACAATAAAAAGAATCATATATATTATGTACGAAACTATATATAAACATAAAAAAGTTAGCACAAATATCTAGCCATATACGATCGTAATTATAAACACGACCCTCATGTTCTATATGATTGCTGTTGAAAACAACAGCGCTATTATTACTTGTATCTGCCAAATTAATGGTGGTTTCGTTACGATACAGAAAGATTGGACTAGATGTATGTGCTTGTGTTGTTTATGTGTGAGAAAGCGAATAATAGTGATGATTGAGAAGGAGAAAGAGAGCATACGAGTGCTGGAAGCGATTGCGGCATTTGTTACAGCGGAAAAGCTTGTCAGGGAAACCAACGTCACCGCACATGCAGCAAACGGTTTGAAGATCTACCATTGTTTTCGGCGTGCACGGACTCAGAGAGTAGCGAGGAGAAGAAGAGGAAGAATAAAAGAGGTGAGAGAGAGAGAGAGAGAGAGAGAGCAGAAAGCGAAGGAACCCACACGAGCACGGAGAGAAAGAAAGAAAAGAAAGTACGATGATGGCTGAGAAGGAAAGAGAGAGGAAAAAAGAGACAGTGAGAGTTTATATAGAGAAAGGTGAGTAGTGGGCGTTTGAGTCGGTGTATGAATCCGATGTATATTAATTTTATATATAAAATAAAAATAAATACAATAGCGGATGTATTCACAGGTAGACCACAGGTTGCTTGCAGTCACTTTCAGTTAGGGCGGGCAGGCAGTGAACAGAGAGAGGGAAAAGACAGTTATGACCCATGGCTGAGGTTGCTTCATTATCATTTCTTACCTATTCTTTTATGTTTTTCTTTCTTTCCTTTTCAACAGCTTTTGTCCTGTTTGTGGATTTTGGAATTGCCATATAAAATTGGAAAGTTAGCCATAAGAGGTTGTAGCCATGACCAATTCACCACCACGTACGCTCCACCACAGTGTGAGACACGCATATCACCGTTTCACTCCCTCCCTCGGCCGACCATCACTATTAATAATCACCAAACACATCACTTTTCACGTTTTCAGCTTTTCAAAAGCTCTTTCGCTGCAATAATATTTTACCCATACTTACTAACATCTATATGCCCTCATCCCCCTTTAGTCAACCAATTATTAACCAATTCAACTTTCTACCTACACTTTTGTTCGGAATTTATTGAAATAACTTATAGTTTGTATAAGTTAATTTTAAATTATTTTGATAAATTATATTAATTTATTTTTAATTTATTTAACAACAACAACAAATAATAATAATAATAGATAAGGAAATTGTATAAGATGAGTCGGTAAAAGTTGAACTATAAGAACATATAGAATATTGATAAATAAATAGTATGATCTCAATTTGCCCCGTCCTTTTGGCAATGTGGCTGTTTATCTTTACTTCAACCTATCTTCTCTCCATATCAGTCGACACACTTCCTTTGCAACCAAAAATAAATTTCTAGATATAGAAATAATAACAAGTAAATTATTTTGCTGAAAGAGTTGGTTTTTTCTTCAATTTTTATTTTGTTGTTTACTATTTCATTTCATTTATAATTTTCTAATGCTGTTTGTTCATATATGTGTCCGTCTCTAGTTAAATCAATCCATTATATTTTCATAGAAGCTAAAACAACAACTTAATCCTAATATATTTGTTCTCGTTGATTAAAATTCAATAAATTTAAAAAATATAATATATAGCTAATAATAATTGAACAAATGGACTGTTAAAATCGTTGTTTGAATAAAGGCAGTCAAGTATACAAAGTCATACTAATTAGGAAAGGTTTTTTAAAGCAATATACTGTAAAAACTGCTTCAATGAGTTGCTAAATTAATAATTAATTTCAAAATAAATTGAATAAAAATAATATGCTAAAATATTTATCACAATTGAACAAAGGCAATAAAATTAGAGTTTTATTTTAATACAATGTTAATAATATAAAATCTTTTACATTGTCAACTACGAAAAATTTACCAGAGATATGAATTTTAAGCAACTTTTTATAAAAATAAACTATTCTTAACTCAGTCAAATGTCAAATTGCATTCAAGTTGTATATAAGTAATAAGTTAAACTTTTTCTTAAAATTATTAGCATTCATTTATTTATTCATTAAAATTACAACATGTTATTTTAATTTTGGAAATTATAAAATAATAATTACTCAAGTGTCTAAAATTATATTTATAAAAATTAAAATAACTCATAATTACATGTAATAATTTGAAGAGTTTAAGTAATGCATGTCTTTATTATTTAAAATTTAAATAGACTAACGCTAATAATTTAAAAACTAAACCTAGTACATTTTTGGATTCCTTATCGCACGTAGAAGATAGGAAGGAAACTATAGGAATCTCTAACTACTTGGATGGCAAAGGCGACAGGAAAGTCAGCACATCGCCAACAACTGACAACTATCTGGAACCCTGTGAGCAGATGTTATATCAGTGTAGTTCCAACCCGTCATGATAAATGATTTGTAACACCAACCACTTACAACACTTTCATTAACATCGCTTATGAATATCAAATAACTTCAAATTAACCCCACGATTATATAGATTTCGTGCGTTGGTGATTAAGGAATGCCAAGAGCCAAATTAACCCATAAACATTATCAAATCATTTGATTCTGACGCTCTGACATGCATGAAGATCAACTTCAAGGAGCTGAAAACGATTACTTACTGGTTACACGTATGATCCACTATTTTAAGAAAAAGTTAAGCCTAAATTCATGGTAAATTGAAACTATAATTTTGTAATCATTATTGACAACATGTAAACGAAGGTGAAATGTTGATTAATATTTTATATTTTGCAGCGTTTTTAGAGTACAGTTGATATAATAAAAGAAACTGTCATCATACCCTAGTACGTAACGCTAAAATTCTCATACATGTATTCAGAATCCACGTCAGAAAAATGGATGTTCCCATTTTCCACCCATTTTCTAGTATCAAAAGAGAGAGAGATAACTCTTGTAATCTAAGGCAGCATACTGGCCATAGAGTGTGGCCATATCATTTGCAGGTATCTACCACCCGCTCTGCAAAGGAGCATTGCATCGTGGCAAGACGAGGATACACTGATCTAAATTTTCCAGATAAGTTTTATGTTAAAATATTTTAATTTTATTATTCATTTTAGGATAAAACTATTCAATTAAAAATATTAAATAATATAATTTGTACTAATGTATTTTGATTTCTTTTCTTTTTTCTCTCTCTCATTATAGAGAGGAACACTTGTTAAAAGATATATTTAAACTACTTTAAATTTAAACAAAAATTACACATTATGCATTAATTTATTTTTAGGTAAATACACCCACAACAAGAAAAATGAAAAATTATTACAGCTTGATAAAGAAACCACCGTCAAAGATATATTCTACCTAGCATCTTTAAGGTATTACTTCAAGAATATATTAATAATAAAAAATTATTTAAAATTGTAATAATATACTCTCTTTATGATTTGAAATTTATTTTAACATTTTTAATTTATTAATTTCTTAATAAGTACTTTTAATTAGTAAAGTTTTTTATTATCAAATTGTAAACAAATTTATTGTCTTTATTATAATACAATAAATTCTTAACTTTTTACCTATTTATACATCTAATATTTCAAGCATCTTTCCTTTCTCTTGACTTTTCTTCTTGCCCAAAACTTTCTTCCACCTGTATCTATATTGTTAATCTCCACGAATTTCCTTTATATTTCAGTCTACAATTTTCATTTTCAATTCTTAAATGCATAGAAAGTCAACCTTTTCCTTCTGCACCAACTTTTCTACAATGTTTTCTCCCTTCCTACCATATAGATCCTTATGTTGTAAAAGCAAATCTTCATCTTTTATTTTCACTTCTCCCTCTTCTATTTCCTAATTTTCAATTTCATTCTTTGTCATTCATGTCTTTCTTTTATTACTATAATACTGTGAATCATTTCTATTCATTAACTTTGTCCACCCGTACCTAATGATTTACCTTAATGGTCCCATATTTCATTTGCTTCTTTTGCTTCATTTCTTCTTAGAAAAATAATGTAATTCCTAAGTCAAATAAGTTGCTAGATGAAAATGACTATTCACATAATGTCATTCTCAAGGTTCTCTGTGATTTTTTTTCCTGCTTATAATTCTGTATTTTTCTTTCTTCCTTTTCAAATCATTGTTGGTCATGATCAACATCCAAGATTTCTTTAGAGAATCTTTGTTGTCTCTTTCTCCCTCGAATTTAATTTATGGATTTTAGATTCTTTAGATAGCATTTTTAGAAGAATTAGATGCATCCCAAATAGATGAATGAGTGAATCCTGCATTGTATAAAAAATTATTAAGTAATGTAAATATTTAAGTTTAATAATTAATGTTAACAAATTCAACTGTATAGATGGAGAGAGGGGAAAAGGAGAAAGAGAGAGGAAGAATGTGAATATATGTGTGCACTCTGAATAAAAAAAATAATTATTAGTGTATGGACTAAGAATCTTTGTTATAACCATACTTTTTTTCTACCACTATTATTTATTTTAATAAGTGAGACATTTTAAATTTTTTTCTTTCTATAGCAATGTAATAGTATCTTTAGAATAATAAATATAATTTTGTATGATATCAAATAAAAAACTTGATTATGAAATCTTGTTTAATATTATTTTGAAAATTTCTCTAATCAAATATTAATATAATAATATGACATTATAATACAATGGGAGTAGTATGTATGTAAACTAACGATCTGTCTCATGGATCATAAATATAAAATGTCAAATAGACACATATACACATTAGCAATCATGTATTGGACTAATAATGCTATATTTACCATAACAAAGTAACTCTAAAATCAAAATTGAACATGTTTATACATGCTTTGAAATGTGGATATTGCATAGATATTTAAGGATCATTATATTCTGTTATCGTTACCATGTGCATGATTTTTAATAATAATATGAAAATTAAGTCATATATACACATATAAAGTAAAAAAGTAATAATTAATCACATATTTGAACTTAACATCACAACTCTCTCAATTATTTGTAATGCATTACAATGCTCGGGCCTTATTTATTCACTAGTGGAAAAAATATTTTTAAAATCAGTTATTTTTTATTTTTAAAATCGGTTGTTTAATCGATTTTGAAACGACCGATTTTAAATAGTAAACTTTTTAAAATCGGTTAACAACCGATTTTAAAACTGAACTTTTAAAATCGAATATGACACAACCGATTTTAAAGAATCAAATACTTTTAATCTGCGATCGTCATCTTCCATATTTGCGACTAATCTCCATAGCCTCTTTATCGGAGGTAGATTTCTTGAAAGAGTAACCACAACCTTCTCCTTATCCTTTGGTGGGGCAACAACATCCTATTCAACAACGTACAATTTTGATATTATACTACATTAGAAGAAAATAACACTAAGTTAAAATTAAATATTACTTAAATAACATACCTATGAAGATATCATCTTCACCAAACTCTGAGGCCACTGAAGGAAGGTGTTTA